TACTCACCACCAAACAGAAATATTAATCTGGGACCCATCCAACTAAACACAGAAAACTGGATTGCTGTCGGAGATCTAAATAGCCACTCACCTAGCTGGGGCTACACAGACCTCAATGCGAAAGGAGAAGAGGTAGAAAACCCGATAATCGGCAACACTCTAGTTCTGATAAATCATCGTGACGACCCAGACACATTCTACTCTCGAGCTTGGAGGAAAACTAGCACCCCACACTTGGCTATAGCAACTGAAGATGTGGATAAAGTTACTAGTCGGGATGTATGTCAACAGCTGGGAGGCAGTGATCACAGGCCCGTAATCCTGTCTATTAACAAAAGTAGAGAGGTTACTAAAGAAACGAACCCTACAAGATGGAACTACAAGAAGGCTAATTGAAGTCTTTTCACTTCCCAGCTGGACGACATGTTGAAGAGTCTTCTTCAGAAGACTAGAAATAAAAGCCAAACTGAAGATCCTCAACACAACTATTCTAAATGCAGCCAAGGGTAACATACCACGAGACAGCAGGAAAAACTTTAAACCTTACTGGTCGCCTGAACTGAACACTCTGCGTTCCAAACTTAGTACCAGGAGGGAAAATATGGAGAAGGATCCAACAGATAAAAATGTAATATTTCATAACAGAGCAAAAGCAGCCTTCATCAAATTCAGAAATAATCAGATGAGGGAAAGCTGGCACAAAAAGACGGCGCCATTTAACCTTGAGAAGGACACTTCACGTCTGTGGAATCTCACAAAAAGCTTGGAGACAAGACAGAAAAAGCCAGAGTTGTACTCCTAACAGACGATGAAGATGTTACTGGCAAGGTAGAAGCAGATGTGCTAGCTGAAACACACCAAAAGGAAACTGAGGTTCATATTCCCATGCAAAGAATAAAAGAAGTACGAAACCAGACCAAGACTCTTCTAGCAGAGTCTAGCACAAAAACAACCGAGGCCTGCATGTCAGAAAAGTTTACTATGCAAGAGCTGGAAGTTGGAATTGGAGAGTTGAAAATGAAGAAAGCCCCAGGGGCTGACGGCATTACAAACGAATTTCTCCCTCATCTTGGACCTGCTGCTAAAAAGTTTCTTCTCTGCATTTACAACCAGAGCTGACAAAAAGGTGTGTTACCGTCAGCCTGGAAGAAAGCTCTCATCCAGCCTATCCTTAAAAATGGTGAAGACAGAAGAGACCCAAAAAGCTACAGACCCATCAGCCTTCTTAGTTGTGTAGGAAAACTGACGGATAAATTAGTAAATAAAAGACTAATGTGGTTCTCGGAGACAAACTCTGTAATCACCACCACACAGACAGGATACAGACAGCACAGAAACACAGAGGACCAGTTGACATCTGGCACAGGAAATAGGGAATGCCTTCCGGGAAAAAAAGAAAGTTCTTGCTGTCTTCTTTGACCTCTCTCGTGCTTTCGATACAGTTTGGAAAGAAGGCCTACAGCTAAAACTGCTACAGGCAGGAGTTATGCACAACATGTACAGGTGGATCAAAGACTTTCTTTTCCAACGCAGAGCCAGATTCAGAATTGATGGACACATCGGCAAACTGGCAAAACTAAGAGAAGGAGTTTCAGGGCAGTGCGATAGCACCAACTCTGTTCCTGGTTTACATAAATGATATCACAGCAACCTGCCACCAGCACGTTTATAATACCCTACATGCTGATGACTTTGCAGTTTGGACAGCCTCCGAATATACTACCTCATATCTGTTACAGAAAACTGTGGAAAATGTAGAAGCCTGGACCGAAAAGGGTCTAAAGCTAAATAATTCAAAAAGCACAGCATCACTTTTCTCTCCCCCCCCCCCCCCCCCCCCCAAAAAAAAAAAAAAATCAAAATTTGGATAAAAAACCAGCTCATTCCACAGACACTCCCACCTTTCTTGGCGTTACACTTGATTCGCGACTAACTTGGAAGTCACACGTAGAAGCAGTACAGGGGAAAGCATTCAAAAAGCTTGCAGTGATGAAAAAATTAGCGGGTACCACATGGGACGCTAACTGCAGAATCCTAAAACAAGTATATACTGGAGCAGTCAGGCCAGTCATGGAATATGCCTCCACTGCATGGGCTGCAGCATCCAAGACAACAATGGGAAAACTGGACAGGGTTTAGAATATAGGATTACGGATTGTTGTCGGAGCCATGAAAACCACCCCCATCAGAGAGATAGAGAGGATAGCAGATACTGAACCACTCGAACTCAGAAGACAATACAAAACTCTTTTACAGTATGAGAAATTAAAAAGACTTGAAAATCACCCACTGCATTTTAAATTTCAAGAGAGAACAAAAAACAGGCAGAAGCGTCGGAGCCCCAACCACCTTGCTAGAAAACCCTACAGACAGCACCGAGAACTGCTTGAAAGATATGTAGCACTGTGCGAAAAACTTAGGCCAGAACCATGGACAAGCAAGCCAGAGAAGGCAAATGTAGTCCTAAAGGTACCAGGGATCAATTCAAATGATGCCCAGACGGATACACAACAGAGAACGCTGGCTCTTGCTATGCTTGATGAGAAGTATCCAAACACCACTTGGACTCAGGTTTTCACCGACGGCTTTGCTACAGATGCAGTCAGAAAGGGGAGTTGTGGAATATACATTAAACCCCCTAGTAGTAGAGCAGAAACTCTCTCCCTCTCTACCAGCAGGTGACATCTGCACTAACTTCAGAGCTGAGGCAACTTAGCTACTATTAACTACTATGACTATGAGCTAACTGATCTTCTCATCATCATCATCGATGATCATATAATTATTAATATTTGATGCTTGACTTAGCCTAGTTGTTGATGGGGAAAAATAGCCGAATTCCAGAAATCATAATATCTCTGCTAATTAACATAACCTACACATAACAAACTTCGAATAATTAAACAAATATAATAAATAATAACACAAAGAGGTCACGCAGGAATGCCAAACCTGGTCCCTAACAAGAGCACAGGAGAAAAAGATCACGACGTGCGAAATGAGATGCTTACGTAAGGCTGCCAATGTCACAAGGAGAGACAGAGTTCGAAACGAGAACATTAGATCAATTGTAGGAACCACACCATGCCTGCAATACATAAAGAAGCAACAAATAGAGTGGTTTGGTCACTTGATGCGAATGCAAACCGACCAACTGCCTCTAGGAGCATACAACGAACAGCACTACTGCCCTAGAGCAAGAGGCAGACCGAGAGTACCATGGATAGACAATATATCAGAGATCCTGAGGCAACACGGACTAACAACAACGTGTGCAACACACCTGGCCCAGGATAGAAAACTGCGACTCCCCACTACACTACGCTGTGAGGCAATTGTAGACAAGACAAGACAATAATAATGCACTGTGCATTATTATTTATTAGGTTTTAAGTAGTTGCTTTTTTATTTTTCATTTTATTGTTTTATTATATTATTACTATTCGATTGTCAAAGTTAAGTAAACATTATGGCATGCCAAATATTTTTATTATAACGTTCACTAACATTCAGATACAATTTCTAGATCAACCATTAATTTAATAAGAATTGATCTTTGTTACTGCAGTAAATTAACAATACAAATCTTATTCTTCAGTAAAGTTCAAACACGAAACACTCATATATCTTATGTAATCTTTCTTGGTTTACATTTTTATCATGCTTATTTTTTTTTATAAACATTTTTGCCTATAACTAAACTAATGTTCAGTCTAACGTATGGTGGCTGTAGCAGTCTAAATATGGCATCCTTTTCCACTGGTATTAAGGTTAAAGAATTAAGTCTTCTCAGTCTAAGGATGCAATCAGTCTGACTTATGATCATGATCATAACACTTTTTTTACACAGGAGTTGGGCTCAGCACCCTTTTACAAAATTGTAAACACCAAGAGTTCTAAGCCCTATTTAAGTCCTTAATAATACTAAGTTGAATGGCAAATAAGATTTGAAATAATTGTTTCTTCTGCATTCATCCGAAGATTTAACTGCATTGTGCCTGTTTAAAGCATGGCTGCAATATTAGCTGTTTTTGGCCAATACGATTTCTGCAAGCTTTGTTGTCCTGGGTAGCCTTCCCGGTAGAAATAATGTGATACATATAAAAAAAAAGACACACAAAAACACCTCTAAATACAGCAGGAATAGGAGAGAATGGTGGGGGGTGGGGGGGGGGGGGTGTTGTGCAGCTTATACTGATTACAAATTGAAGAGCTACCTTACCACACAAACAGGGGGAAATTACCTCTATACCTGGAGTGACCATATTTCCTGTTCTCCACTGGGCCAGCAGTCCCATTGTGTGTGTGTGCGTGTCTGTCTGTCCCAAGTGGTACTCAAAAATAACATCGGTTGTCCCATTTTATTTTAAAAAAAAAAACTAGGAATCAGCTCAAGAACAGAACATATCACTTACATTTACATCTGTAGACTTGTTAGATCTCATGGTTTTAGATTCGTTTTAACATCATCTTCTGTGTCGTATAAATGTTGAAACTTGTGGCTGCCCAGACATTTCTTCACTTCTTATGAATTCATCCCTTTTTATTTTCATCATCTTTCTCAGGCATTTGTTTTTGACTGGCAACTAGCTGGTGTTCATCTCTTTAAGTTAAGAAACCTTCAGAGTAAGCAATACACAAGTACTTGAGAATTGGATCTGAGGTAAGGCTTAGAGATGCACTTAGTTCTTAAAGGGTCAATAAAGGACCATCTTGATACCAGTGACAAATCAGGCATATTATGCAACTCATATTGTCATAGACTAATCCACACTTGGTGGGTGATGTGGTCAACATCCCACCCGCTGCTTTTACTTCCAAGTGCACTAAGGTCTTGACCTGTTCTAAAGTGCACTTTTTTTTTTTTTTACCTTTGTGGCCTGAGAAGCAGGGGTCAAGATATATTTGTTTCATCTGTGTGTGTGTGTGTCTTGGTTGATATTTCAGAGCTGCACGTGAATTAATTATATCCTTTAATGTCCTGCAGTAATGGTGCAGAGATGAACAAACTGCGGAAGAAGAACAAAAAGGTGGAAGCACCTTCGTCATCTCAGTGGTCACGAACAGGTAGTCTCATGTATAAGCCAGAGATAGGATGGATTCATGCAGATGCTCAGCTGTCTCCAGACGCTGGCATTTGTTATGGTGTAAGGGTGGGTGATTTTGCTGCAGATTTGATTTTACAGCTAATATATCCTAGTTTTAGACGATATTTTCTCCCTTGTATTCTCTAAAATAAAAAAATTTCAGACTCACATAATAGTAATATTTGTGCCTTTGGATCAAGACATTCAAATGTAACCTATCAAATATTTTGTATGCCTTTGTGTCAACACATTCAAATGTTACCTATCAGATAGTTTATGATGAGATTCCCTTCCCTCTTCAACACAAACTATGTATATATTCTGTTGCAGATAGGCTTTCCAGTTTGAAGAAAAAAGTTGACATTTTTAGGTGAGGGAACAAGAAACTAATCAGCTGGTTTGGAAGATACTGAGGATGTTCCTGACACATCACATTATGCCTTGTGAGGTACTGGTTCACCAGCAGGGATCAGTGTGATGACACCTTGTCATGCTTGCAGAAACCGACTGTTTGTTCTCCATTAATAGGCATTTCCTTCTGATTGCTTCTCTTAGATGATGAAGGATATCAACGTACATTTCCTTGATAACTGTTCAGTCTTCAGGAATGAAATCATGGACAGATAGTACTCTTGGAATCAAAAGAAACTTCTAGCATAACTTGGCTATTGCTCTTGTCCAAACGAAATGTTAGTCTTTGCATAGATGGAGGTGATTTTCATTCACAGGACTGATGTTTTGTCAGAGGATCATACAAGAAACTCCTCGTCTCATCTCCTGTGATAATGTTGTTGTAAAAATTGCTATCTAGGTCATTCAAAGTGATATATCTCTTGCCAGTGTCATTCTGGTTTCTTTCTGCTCAGGAGCTAACATCTTGGGAACCATGTGTTGACAAACACTGTGCTCGTGCAGTTTGGTGTGGAGAATAACTTGGCAGCTTCCAGCTGATATTCCAACTTCTTGACACTAAGTCTTCTTTCAGCTCAAACAGTGTTCCGAACTTTCATTGTTTATTGCAGTAGGCAGTCGGCTACTACGTTAATCACCAGCGCTAAACCTGCCTATGAGGAAACACTTGTGACACTCAAACATTTGCAATTTCTTCATTGTGGTATCAGCTTGTGCTTCCTTAACTTTTTGGAGGTGGAACCTTGTTTGGAGTTTTAATGGCAAGAAAATGGAGCCCTACTTATGTGATTTGTTTAATTTGCACACACAAAATTATAAATAATTAAGTATTAAATTAATATATATATCATTTTCACTTTAACTGGACACTTTTCAAACCAAACTGGATGATTTTCAAACCCCCTTGGGTATATTTCAAATCAAACTGGACATTTTTCGAATCCCATAAGATGTTTTTTCAAAACAAACTGGACATTTTTTGAAGGTTTAATTTGAAAAAAAGTTTTATTTGAAAACCATCCTAGATAGTTTGAAAATCATCCTAGATAGTTTGAAAATCATCCAGTATGATTTGAAACACGTCCTAGGTGGTTTGAAAAATGTCCAGTTTAAAGTGAAAATTGTATAAAAAGCTATATATATTCTTGTAGGAAATTGAGTGAACTAACAGTCTTCATGTATGTGTGCTTTTTTGTTCTCAATTCACACTTTGTATATTTGCATTGATTTAACTTAATGGTATATTTTCTTCTATCTCATTAGTACATTGGATGCTTAGAGATCAAAGAGTCTATGAAATCATTAGACTTTGAAACACGAACAGCAATTGCCAGGTTTGTTTATTTGAGGTCAGACAATCAGTGCGGTATAATTTTATGTGAAAAGTTGCAGCAGAATCTGTTACTGTTGAAAAAAAAATGGTTGGGGGTGGGGGAGAAGTGAATTTTACACAATGGGGTATAGTAAACATATGGTGCTAGCCCATTATTATAAGATTATTTAGAACTTAATGGGTGATGTTAATATAACACACATGGCCTTTACTTCTTCTTATTTTTTCTGATAATACTTGGGTATGGACTGTAGACCATTTCACACTCACTAAAGAAGGCTTTTGAACATAAATATTACCACAGTATTATTTAAAATATTGTAGATCAAAAAACAATTTAAAAAAACTGACAATTTAGACAATTTGAAGATTAGGAACTGAGAAGGGCTGTAGGAGTGACCATAAGAGATAAGATCAGGAATGAGATCATAAGAGAACAAGTCGGCACAGAACCAATTTTTTACATACAAAGACAGCAAGTGAAATGGTTTGCCCACTTAGAGAGAAGGCCTTGTGACACATACCATACAAAGCATACATGGAAAGAGAAGAAGGACGTAGAGCACGGGGTAGACCAAGAACAAGATGGAAGGATAACATCAGAGAAACTCTACAACAGCATTGTATGGTCGAGGCAGCCAGAAGAGCTAGAAACAGAACCTTATATCTCCCTCGACACCCACAGCGGTAAAAGAGGAAGTGAAGAAGAAGAAGAAGATTAGGAAAAAACTTGCTTATAATCAGCATCATGATGCAGAATCTATTTTTTTTTTTACCATATTAAATGTCACAATGGGTTCAGAACAGCAGGTTAGGTGACACAGCATATTCATTGCACATCGAACTCCTCAGTCCATGAATGCTCGGAATTCCTTCGTAGTAAATACCACAGCATGTAGTGGCTAGTGCCACCAGTGTTGTTTTGGTTTATTATTATTCTTTGTCTTCCCTCATGCTGCTGCTCTCTGATACCACTTTGAATTTGCTGTTCTGGCAGTCTGATCATGGTTGCAGATTTAAAGTCATCACTTGATTCTCACCTCATGGAGCAATCAGTATATCAGTGTGGTCCATGGCTCAGCCACCCTGTACAGTTAACTTATCCTCAAGCTTATCATCTTGCTCATTTTCTTGTACACCTGCTTGCCCTGGCTTGAAACTGAAACTCATCATTCTTAGCTGTGACCACATTAGAGACACCAGTCACTGTTCTCTGGCCCAGCCCATCTCTCTCTTCCTTAGTACAGTCATTGAGAAAACATGCCCAGGTGACTGTCTGTATCTCCAGCGAGGTTACTGCTTTGATTACTGCCATGACTCCATAGTCAGACTACTTGTAGTTAAGACAAAAACACCCCAGTCTTCCTTCACAATTCTTCCCCTACTGAAATTGTAAATGCATATGAACTTCTCGTGTGTTTAATGACAGATCCAATTATGTAAATGACAGCATTAGCCTCTAAAAGTTCCATGAAAATTGAAGCCTGAACTTCTGCCTCACAGCGGCCAGACTTTGTTGTCAGTATTGTCCGTCTAGTCAAACAGAAACAAAGATGTACAGAACTCTGTTGGCACTAGTACCCACTCCTCGTTGGCTTCCATGTCTTCAAGTGAGTAACAATAATGTTCGCAGCTTGACCCATCCACAGCTTTCCTCTGCTGCCCTTTTTCTTCTTAATTTCACTATGCAGTGGATGTTGTGTGTCTGCGCTGACTCAAGAGGCAGACTTGAACTTGACAAATTTGTATTCTGTCCTATTTTTGCGAAGAAAAAAAAATGCATCGTCTTGCATGCTGTAATCTCTTGTACACCCAAGTATAAAATGCATAGCTTCATTCTGTATTTCTTTCATCCTCTTCCTGTGCTTTATGGCATTAAAATAGAATCACTGTCGCATATTCAAACACACCAGAAAGGACTAGACCCTCTGCAGAAGACATAGCTCATGCTTGACTGTTTGCTTTGGGCCATCAAATTAGAACAGTATTGGAAGGCATAGTTCCTATAAGGACAGATTTACCAGCTTAAAAGTGACATGAAACATTAAAGACACTGGCATGAAACTATATGAGACAGGAAAACTGATGAGTCAATATTTCTAGCAGTTTGAGATAAGAATGATATTCTAATATTGGACTTGCTAAATGATACTAATGAATGATTTAAAGCTACAGCACAATTTTTTCGGATATATTAATTAACTTACAGGGAGTCAATCAAAAAGGTTGCAGAGGCAGCAGGCTTAAAGACCGCTTCGAAACAAAAAAAGGTAAAAATTATTGTTTGTTTAATGTTATCTACAATAAGAATTTACAGTTGATAAATCAGAAGTGACTAATTAGTTTTGTCCTTTTATTCATCTTATGCAAGAATACCAGAGTTTGTGTTTATGAGACTAATGATATTTATTATCAGAGGTAGTTTATATTGCTTCAGTTTTAGGTTTAGGTTTAAACAACGGATCAACGTCATGGCACAAGGGTAGTAACCCACAAGTGCTTTGTTCTACTTTTATCTTAAGATTAAGTCCAAAGAATCTCATTGCAGTGCACGAACTTTGTAGCACTGGCGAGGATCCAGAAATACTTTGGGTAGATTTTTAACTCTAAATTAGCCAATAGGCTACTCTTTTCAATTTCCAACTGCCAAGGGATTTTTTTATGTACGCAACAATACACATCGGCGACCGATCTTACTACTTAGAGACCAGGGGAAATTACTAGAAGTCCACCTGAAAAATTCTAAACCTTCACCAGGGTCTGAACCCATGACATCAGGCACTCGAGGTGGATGCCATGCCTTCGAGACCACTCAGCCCTCTGCATATTCCATCTGCTTGTCTACTTTTGTCCAAAAGCTGTAGATATTGTTATGAAAGGATCTGCGTAAAAATAGTCCGGTTTATTATACTTACTCAACTTAACTGAGGTAAATATATTATTTCTTTAAATTTTATATTTCTGTTGTTATACCTTCACCTTATATCATTGATCATTTGTGACATTTCTGTAAGTTTCATGTTTTTTTTGTTACATCTTCATCTCACTTTACTTGAACAGTTGTGAAAATCTCTGTAATTTTAATGTTTCATTTGTTCAACCTATTGTAATTAACTTGGATAACTAGGATATTACTTTAACCTTTTAACCAGTTACTTGTGATTGTGATGTGTCTGCATAAATGCATATTAGTAAGCATTGCTGCAGTGGCCTGTTCCTGAAAAATTCAGTTAACGGGAGATGAAAAATCCAGTTAACGGGAGATGAAAAATCCAGTTAACGGGAGATGACCTGTTTCCCAGTAGACATGCATTCAGGGACATATAAATGGTCCTAATTGCTAAAATAGCAACTTGGTCATTTGCGTTCACGGTTTCTGTGCAGGGAGATATATGAATTATAAACAACAATGATCATGAACTTGAAGGAATTTTCAGAAAAAAAAAACTATATTACACAAGTCACTAAAAATTTTAATAAAAATATGTTTCTATCTAAATTAAACATTTTGTTTAGAAATATATAAATATGTATAAAGAAGTAATCAATAAACATGAACAGAGTGAAGCATTAACTGGAAACATTCCCCAAGGCATAAAAAAAAATGTATCGGATTACTCATTACTGAGTCTGATGGGAAATTTAACATCAAATTGGCTTTCAATAAGCCATTGGATTCATAAGGAAACCCTCCTAATTGCTATTTTTTAGTTACTTTATTTAAAAAAAATACGTCAGAGATGTGGTTTTTGAGAAGAATGAGTGGAAGGAAAGGAAAAATCAAATGAAGCAGTCCTCATTGAGACAGATGAAAGTCATAAACATGTTAGAAAAATTAGATGTACCGTCAAAATTTATTTAAAATAGTGGGCTTGAGAACTTGTAACAACTGGCAATATTGATGGAAAGAGAGCAAGTAGAAGGCAAAGAGATAAAAACCTGGAAGAGCTGGTAATATTGATGAGGCGAGGCAAAAAACAACAACATTAAACTGATCTGGGATTCTGGTGATCATGTGAGATGGCGAAACATGACATCCTACATTTACCGACCCAGCACATGATGATGATGATGAATATAAGATTAAATCATTCCTAATGTATAAACAACAAGAACTGTGATGATTGAAGAGTCAAATCTTATGCTATTTCTTGATTTACAGGCTGACCGGCATCTTGACAAAATGCTGGGCAATAACCCACACATGCAGTATGCAGGAGCAAATATTAACCTGACTATCACAACAGAAAGTATTAACTTAATGGTAATGGAATCTGGAGAGGTAGGTGTTCCTTTGGCTACAGATATTTTGTTTCTCAATTACATATTTTATTTTCTTGTTTATTCTGATTTCTATCATGTGAGTTGAGTTATGAGTTAGATTATCTTCATAGCACTCCGGACACATCCATAGGTGCTCAGATTCCCCTCTCAACATATTCATCAGCATCGTGGGATTAATAGTACCAGTCCTATGTTGGTTAACAAGACTTTGTGTGCGTCCAGTGTGCTTCTCATGCTTGGCTGTGCGGATCTTTACTCCCAACTTGCGTATTCTTAGCAGTGATGTGGACACGTTGCTTCCAAAATCCTCAGAAGGTTTTATCTCTCTAAGGCAATGACAATGTCTGCGTGATTTATGGGCCGGCCATCTTCAATTAATGCAGCGCCTGAAGCTCTCTCATTACCAACAACGCCTGCATGCCCTGGGACGAATATGAAAGTAACTGCACACACATGAGAATTTTGCAACGACTCAAGCCACTGTCTGCGTAACCAGTCTGCCTCAGTGGCTTGAGTCGTTGCAAAATTCTCCTGTGTGTGCAGTTACTTTCATATTCTGTCATGTAATCAGACTATTAGAAAAATTAAACAGTGATTGCATACATCTGGGAACAGTAAATAATATGTATTAGCAGCAGACAGCCGTTGTAAAAACTAACTGTTCAGGAGTATAAAGAGGGTTGTGGAACAAGGATGTGTACTGGTACCTGATTTATTTTCATTATACAGTGATTTGATTTGATTCCAGAATTGACATCCAGCACTCAGAGCATTTCCATAAGCGCTTCATCCCCATCTTCAGCAGCCAATGCAGAGTTCCAATACCATTGATGCCAGTAGTGGTCTGATTATTGCCTTTCTTCTGAGTGTCACATATTGGCCAGTGCCCCTTGTCACTGCTCATTGCATCACTGTCACCAGACTGATAATCAGTTTGCTGTTCCCATATTGTACATGTGCTCCCATAAGGCCTTAACCACGTCTGCCTTATCATGTACAAGTATTCCACCAAGTTGTGCAGACCCAGCCGGTCTGTCCATCTATTCTTTATCCAACACACCGGCATACCCAGAGAAAAAATCCTTTTACCTCCCATAAGATGTCGTGATACCCATTTTTACCTGGATTGACATGAGAGTTACTTTGATGTGCATTTAAACCTTACCAGTATGCAAGTATGCTTACCACTGGTCTGTCACATAAATCTTCCCCAGACACCTAATAGACTATCCAGAAAATATTTGCATTCAGTGAAAACCTTAGGTGAAAGTTCATTGCATTGAGCTGTTTTTGTTTTTAAAAAGTGCTGTATGTACTAATTTCAAATTATAATTCTTTCTTCTATTACAGATTATAGCTGAGCACCCTTTGCATGTTGTGTCTTTTGCTTCAGGAGGTGATGTGGTAAGTGTCCTATCAGGACTTGTCAAAATGGTCAGTGTAAAGGCTGGTTTTGCATCATACATTTAATGATAGACTCGTTTTCATAGACCAGTCAGCCCTTGTTAAGTGTTAGTCAAAATCATACCGGCGGATTTCACTTCTGAACCTATTATCTGGTGCCCATTATAGGCGGGGTCAGTTTTTAAAAAATAAAGTTCACCATGATGTGGCTTTGAACCCAAAACCTTCAGCCCAGCAGGTGAGCATCTAGCCACTACACTTCCATAGCTGTCCATCTTTTGTCTCTGTGTGTGCATGCATGCGTACGTGTGTGTTTAAAAAAAAATATATATATATATATCACATTTGTGTTACCAGGACTGACAGACAATAGTAAACACTGTAGCCTGCCATGCAAATATGCAAATGCAGCATAGTTATGAGTAAAAAATCGGCATCATAGCACTCAACACGTTAGACACCTTTAAAATTATTCCATGGGGACTCTTAGTGCGACAGTATAGGAGAAGCATGCTTCAGGCATGGCTTCCCTGGTTTGTCCTGAAACTTCAACGAGTGGGGCCAGTGGAAATGAGCATTTGAACTTTTCTGTCATTCAGTAGGACAGTTTACAGTCGGACATCTAAGACTTGTCTGTCAAAGAGTAGGATATTTGACAGTTAGACTTTTAGTCCTGACACTCAGATGAATGGGGCAAATGGTAGCAGACATTTCAACTGGAGTCAAATCAGCATTTTTAGAAGGTTTTTGGTCATGAGATGTTAAATCAAGAATTGACATTTATGGTGCAGACCGCTTAACTCTTTCAGGCCCATGAATTTTGACAGACTTGGCCCACATTAATTTCCCTTTACAAAAATGGCAGAGGGGGGTGTACAAGAAAGGCTATTGAGATTGTAATATACTTCTAATCCCAATAAAAGTATATATTTTTTAAAAGAGAAATGAATGTACATTTTGAATCTGATGATAGGTGTTTGTTTAATTTTGTTATAGTTGGAAAGAAGAATTCAGCAGGTGTTAATTTCACAAGGACAAAATTTCACTTACCATGGTTTTGCAGTCACAAGAGTAGTAAATATCCAAATTTGAGAATAAAACTTTAAAGTTTGTTCAATTTCCTAACATATTCCAAAGTTATGATAACTTTCTGGGTTAGTTTAGCACTCAGGGGCTCTAAGTTCTCACCGAGTGCTAAGCAAAATTTCAGAGAAAAAATGGCAGAAAAATGAGCCATTACACACACACTGTATGCTATTTACTTTGTACAGTTATTTAGCTGCGATGATTTCAATGTAGCTTAGCCATAGTGTATAGTACTATCTCTTTGTTGAGAGCACTTTCCTTCTCTTACACCATAAATACGGTAATATGAGACATTGTCTGTGTAATAAACTCGTTAGAATCGCTAGATTCCGAACAGCTGATCGCTCAGCTTCACTGGTGAAAATTCACAGTCCAAATTACTTTCCAAAAAATCTAAATTTGTATTATCATTATCACAATTAAAAACATCTGACTGAAACAATTTCAGAGCTTCGGCGGCAGAAAGACGCATTCTGCGACCTGTACTTGTGGTTGGAACATTGGTATTCATGGCACTCAAAAACGAACTTAGAAAATGAATTACGCAGTTTTTTTCTCTCAAATTATCCACGTGTGGTTAAGTCCAGGAAATGAAACTAAAAGGATTTCGGCAGAGTGACTTTCCCTGAATAGTTTAATCGTACCTCCAAACACTAGAAACTAGTACGAAGACGTGTGCGAAGCAAAATGTAAGGGACACAGGATCGACGAATGACCGTTGTTTGGGCAAAATGGAACTTCTCAAACAACGCTCACACCGTTGTTTGGGCCTTAAAGAGTTAAGATGATCTTGGACAGATATGGCAGATTTCTGTTTATCCCCTAGCATTTTTTCCTACTTGAATTCCTGTTTGAATTTCTGATAAGAATAATAATTTCTTTGGTCCCTGGTGAGTTCTCATTATCAGGTCTGCTCTCTAGTTGGATATTAAGCCAGCAGGCTCCACTCATGTTTTAAATGAGTTTTCCATGTATGTTATCACTCATGCCATTGGGGATGAGCTGATGAGAGCCAGAGGATTTCTGTAAACTGCATCTCTGGGGGCCAGCTACTCCAGGATCCCCTGCCAGCTTGGTTAGGACTTGTATGACTCACTGACTATTGCACACGATGTGGATGTGTAGCAAGAGTTGCATGATGATCCGTACAATCAGGACAGAGCCTGCTGGCACCTGGGGTGAGGTAAGGTGTATCTCCTTATGCACGTCACAATGGCCTTAACTTTCCCTCACGCCTGTGACCAAAATCACCATACTACCCTCTTTGACTATTCTGTGCATGCCTTTGAGGCTCTCATAATAAACCTGGTAAATGCATACAGTACTTGTCATCATCATGGAGCAGGTCCTTCACAAAACGTCGCTCTCTTCACCATCTGCCTGAAAGAAACTTGGTCTCTTGCTAGCTCTCCCTCCTCAGGAGTTACTTATATCCTCTGCCCATCTTCGTGTTGGTCGGCCCCTGCCACTCTTTCCTGGTACCATGCCTTCTGCTATTATTTGTTCCAGTCTGCTATGGCCCTTGAAATGTCCAAAATATTTTCAGCTTCTGAGACAAGATACTGTTTATTAACCAATCTTCCTTGATGTTCAGATCTTTTAAAATGTCAGTATTTCTCCTCTTCTTTGTCCATGATATTCTGAGAATCTTTCTGTAGCATTTAAGCTCAAAAGCCCCTATTCTCTTTCTCAAGGACTGAGAGATAGTCCACGACTCACATTTGTATGTTGCTCCAGGGAAGATTCATGCTCTCAAAATTATAATTTTGATCTCCTTGCTGGTGCTTAACCATAGACTCTTTTAAGGCTGTTCAATCTTTGCATTGCTATGACCATCCTCATTTTGATTTCTGTTGTCTCCATTGTTATTTGATATAAAGCCTAGATATTCAAAGTTTGTTACATTTTTTATTTCTTCACCATTTATTGTTATTTTTCGGTGACAGCCAGTTTTGCCTGTGGATAATATTTTCATTTTCTTTAAATTCAAGAATAGGTTTTGATCTTCAAAGTGCTTTTGGACAGACTTGATGAAATTTCTGTTCCCTTTACTGTTCGAAAGGAGGACTGTATCATCTGCGTAGCGAAGTTCCAAAGTAGCTTTGCCACCAGTTATGAGCGGTTCATAACTGTCACAAGTCTGGTCATTTTTGACATTTCTCATTATGTTTTCTGCATATATATTGAATAGGTATGGTGAGAAAATGCACACCAGCCTCACTGCCTTTTGCACCCTGAACCAGTCCGATATTTCACCATCTGCTCTTATGGCTGCTTGTTGTTCATGATATAGAATTTCAAATAAATGCACCAAATGCATATTGTAGTTTCTGTTCAGTCCTCTTCATGATAATCTGTAAGAGGATTTTGCTAGCATGATTTATTAATTCGATGGCAACATATGTAGAACATCTATTGGTATATTTGTAACCATCCAAGGCATGATCAGATGAAACCCATTCTGGTGGCTTTATTAAAAACAACTTAAAAGTGTGTGAATGTGTGTGTGCAAGCATGCTCTATATATGTGTCATTAATTACAGTTTCTGTGAATGCTGTATAATACAGCATTTGAAAGGAGTCACTCTGTATTACAGAAGCTCTTCTTTGGCTAGTAAGAAAGTGGATAGAGCACATAGGTGAATGTTTGGAGTGCAGAGATGTCAATTCTTGATTGATTGTTTCATTAACTCTGTACTACAGGACACACTGGACTTTGTATCATATGTAGCCAAAGATGCTGAATATGGCCGTGCATGCCATGTACTGGAATGTGGTGGTGGTTTAGCAGAAGATGTGGTCACAACAATAGGTCAGGCATTTGAGCTGCGGTTTAAACAATACTTGAAAAGACAGCCTAAAACTGTCCAGATAACGGATAAGTAAGCTCTTGGAAGTTAAAGATACCATATTTATTATTATGTGTGTTTTTTGTTTGTTAAACTGTGATCAAAATGTTTCTAGTTATTATTTATATGCATATATAATGTTGTTACTATTTTATATATATATGCTTTTTTTTCTGTTTGGTTTTTTGTCTGTGGCCATGGGATAGTTCCTGTTGTGAATCATATGTGTCTCTTGGACTGCATTACCTCTTTCAGTACCAGGGGATTTAGCATCAGATTCTCAAAGGATGGTAAAAAGAGTAAAATTGGTGCATCCTGCATTCATTAGTCATCTAGGTCTGAACTTATGATGAGTTCCTAGGATCTGAAATAGTAAAATTTGCACTATACTATACATTTTTAATATTACGCCCATCCATTTCTTATTCTTCCTTTAGCTCTTCTAAAGCTTCTGTGATTATAGGCACAAACTGGTAGCTGGTCGAACTTCATCTTCATAAGTTTCCTGAACTAATATGGTTGTTGTCACTGTAGTTTAGGTATCTTTATGGTTACTAGTAATGCTAAATGCACAGGCTTTTTGGTACATGAATCCAATAATTTTTTTTTTTGGGGGGGGGGGGGGGGGGGTTAACCAAAGTAGCACCATAGCTTTGTACCTTAGATCAGCACCCTTCGGTCACATCTAGCAACATATGTCATAAGTTAGCAGTTCTTGAAGAATATTTTCAGGGTTACAAACTTTGGTTTCACACAAGTAATTATCTGTTTGGAAGCCTGAAACATTTTGGATAAGCAAGTTGTCTGCAGTGAATAATTCTTCTTTCGGTTTTTAGGTATTCTTGGGACAACTTTTATTTGCCATCCATGCAGTATTTTGTCTATATTCATGCAATTCTTTAGCTAAGAGATACACAGATCATGATCATTTTATTTATCATTGAAATATTTTTCTGTTGTAAATAAATGGACCTGTCTGTTGCCTTCAGGTGCATTTAGTATATGGCACTAGCCCCATGTTTGTAAAGAACAATCAGCACTCAGGGAGTGATGTGATCAGCATCACGCTGGCCACTTTTGCTTTTTATAACATTTCCTGCTACAAATTTTAAAGCTTGGTCAATTTCAACAGTCCACCTTTATGCAGCTTTGAACTCTTGCCCACCAGACAAGGAAGCTAGCATGTTGTAAGTGAACAAATAAACAAATCAAGTTTCAAAAAATGAAAGCATTGTTTCCCTATTGTAAGTCTGAACAAAGATGTCACAGAAAACTCAAAAGTAACTGTACGGTGGATTGTTTTGGAGTCACTTGCTTCATTTTATTTAATTGTTACTGTAGTATGCATTCAATAAGATACTGCGAAATATACCAGGCAGTAGATTGTACAATCTGTTATTTGTGTCTCATTTGTTAAAACCTGACGTTTTTAAACTCAAGCCTTGTTAGGTAACCTAACCTTTAACTTTTTCTGACTGTATTCCTGTTACTTATTCTTATTTAAGATGTTCAGAAATAGGTGGATGTTTTAACCTCATAGATAGATGTGCATTAACTAGGTTTTATGAATTGTTCATGACAGGCAAGGAGACAATCCTGCATTTGTAAGTGAAAGCTTGGGAAATGGTGAGGACTATTACAATGATAATCCTGATGCTATCCCACCAGAGCCCAGCTTATCTGTTGAAGCAGCAACCTCAGTAACATCACCTCTACCTGGGCATACAGTAAAAAACAAAGTATGTGACTTGTAGAAATAGACATGGAAAGTTTACTTGCTACAGTTGTGATTGTTGTAAATTTTTTCATTTTCTGATTGTTGTAGAAATAAACATAGTTTAATGTTTACAAATTGTGATTCATGTAGAAATAGACATAGATAGTTTAATGGGACATAATGTGATTCATGTAGAAATAGACAAAGATAGTTTATTTACATACTGTGATTGGTGTAGAAATAAACATAGGTAGTTTAATGTTTCTTCCTTTTCTTCTTTGTGTTCGGTTTCGATGATCTGGACCGACTGTCAGGTGGGCTGTCCATATGATTTCACATGTCAGCTGCAGGTCCTTCATGGTTCCCCACAGCTTGCTCTGCAGATTTTGCTCTTAAGGCCAGGTTTCTTGTCGTAGTTGTAGGTAGAGTGGGCAGGCCTACAGAACGTGCTCAGGTGTTTGTGGTCTCGTCTGACATGCACACTGAATAGGGACTGTACAGTCCTTATTTTGTGCATGTGATAGTTGAGCCTGCATTTTCCTGTTCTTAGATGGAAAATTATTGTATGTTGCTTTCTGTTGAGTCTGCTGATGGAGTCTTGTAGATGTTTACTGTTAGTTTGTTCTCTACACAACTCCTTGTATTTTCCTTTGATAAGTGTTTTGATTTCTGGTAATGACAATGAATGGGTGTGCTGTTTCTCCTTTGTTCCACTTTTTTTGCAAGTCTGCAACCTCATTTCCTTGTTTGCTACAGTGAGCCGGGATGTAGAAATAGACATAGATAGTTTTATGTCTATAGATTGACATTGTTATAGAAATAGACATAGATAGTTTTATGTTTACATATTGCATTTTTGTAGAAATGGACAGATAGTTTTATGTTTACGTATTATGAGTGTTATATAAATATACATAAATTGTTTCACTGCTAGATATTGTGGCCGTTATAGAAATGTAGTGGTACCTCAATATACAGACCTAATTCATTCATTACCGTGGTTCGTATTTCAATATGTTTGTGTCTCGAAACCCAATTTTCCAATACATCTTAAGGAAATCAGTTAATCCCTTCTCAGGTTTGTGAAAATTTCCATTGCAGCATTGTCTATTGCAGCATTGTCCATTGCAGCATTATCTACTGCAGCATTGTCCATTCCAGCATTGTCCATTGCAGCATTGTCCACTGCAGCATTGTCCATTGCGGCATTGTCCACTGCAGCATTGCCCATTGCGGCATTGTCTACCGCAGCATTGTCTACTGCAACATTGTCCACTGCAGCATTGTCCATTGCAGCATTGTCCACTGCAGCATTGCCCACTGCAGCATTGTCTACTGCAGCATTGTCTACTGCAGCATTGTCTACTGCAACATTGTCTACTGCGGCATTGTCCATTGCAGCATTGTCTACTGCAGCATTGTCTACTGCAGCATTGTCCATTGCAGCATTGTCTACTGCAGCATTGTCCATTGCAGCATTGTCTACTGCAGCATTGTCCATTGCAGCATTGTCCATTGCAGCATTGTCCATTGCAGCATTGTCCATTGCAGCATTGTCTACTGCAGCATTATCTACTGCAGCATTATCTACTGCAGCATTGCCCATTGCAGCATTGTCCATTGCAGCATTATCTACTGCAGCATTGTCCATTGCAGCATTGTCTACTGCAGCATTGTCTACTGCAGCATTGTCCATTGCAGCATTATCTACTGCAGCATTGTCCATTGTAAAAAGAATTTTCTTAGGCAGACCCTTTTCTTTTAGATACCATTTCACTGTGGGAGCAAAGACCTGTGTCATCCACTCATAGAAGAATTGCCTGGTTAAATGAGCTCTGCTGTTACTTATCCACATCAAGTTGAGTCTCTACTTGTTACCTGTCTTTTGTTTACAGACTATATGATTTTCACAGTGATAAACCAACAGAGGTTTTATCTTCAGGTTACCTCTGGCATTAACACAAAAAAGCAAAGTTTGTCTTTCATCAGCTTGTGTCATGGCAGCGCCATTTCATCCTTATTGATGAACATTTTCTTAAGTATTTTTTCCAGAAAAGCCGTTTCATCACAGTTGAAAACTTATTCTGTTCTGTAACCCTCTGACTTTATCAGTTTCTGACATTTCTTCACAAACATTTTAGTGGCTATTATGTCAAACTAGCACCTCCTCCATGTCTGACAACATTATGGATACCAGTTCTATTCTTGAATTTCTCACCATCCTTTGCTAGCTTTAAACTCTTCACTGATGACTTTGCTATTGGTAGTGGATGGAAAGTTATGTGATTGATCATTGTAAATAAATAGCTTAAGCTTTCAAATAGATCAGATTTTGAGGTATATAATGTTTTCATTTGAATGTCTTTAATCCAGATGAGTAGTAATAGATAAATTTTCCTTTGGCCACATCCAGTTCCTTATAAATCAGTTTTCTTGAGAATTGTAGCTCGTATGTTGATGTACCACTGTAGTTTAATTGGTACACATATAGTTATCCCCTCCTGGCAACCCATTGCCATTCTCACAGAAAATACCAGTTTACTGCAGCTTGTCCAAAAATGTGTCAACCTAGTAAGTAATTGTTAGAATGTTTGTGGTATGTTTTCCTTAGAACATTCAGAGCATTCAGCCAAAGTCATTTAGTGAGATTGATTTCTGTGTTGAGAAGTTATATTTAAACAACTGTTAAAATTATTGAATAACTTGCGTTGATCAGGAAAATCAGACTTGATTACATTTTTAAATGAGAATTATTTATTTGCTTGATATTTGCTATAATATTCACTTTTCTTTTCCCTTTTGCTTTCAAATTCTGTGATGTCTCACATTAAAGGCTAGCTACAGTGTACCCACTGTTCTCTGTGGAAATATTATGTGCTGAGGCCCAGTTGCCTCATTGGTGCAACTTTTCTCTCTCACTATGGGAAAATCACACACACAAAAACACCATCCAGTGTGAAAGTCAACCCCTTGTACTCCATGATCATTTAATGGTTAAACAGTTCAGTACTTTCTGAGCTATACAGCCACACTGTGTTGTGCTTATGTCTGAAGAAAACCACACAGCTGTACAACTCTTACTGCACACTAGTTAACATAGCCAGTCTATGTATATTTGTTTGAGGTTTTGAACAACATATCAACATCATCGCACACGGGTGTAACCCATAAGTGCTCTGTTCTTCTTCTAATTCAAGTCTGAATCCGAAGAAGCTCAGCACAGTGCACAGGCTCTGTATCAGCGGTGAGGATCCTGAAATACTTTGGTTAAATTTTAAAGTCCGATCTCACTACCCAGAGACAAGGGGGGATTTTAAAAAAAGTCCAAGTCTGCATGACAAAATCCCAGCCCTTACCAGGGTTTGAACCCGGAACCTCTAGCACTCTAGGCGGACACCATGCCTTGAGACCACACAGCACCCTGTGTGTAAATCTACATTTGTTAAAATACAAAAAAATTAGTAGCATGTCAAATAAAAGGGTAATTGTTTTATTTATAAACTTTTATTTACTGTTTCCAGCTCTTTATTACTGCTTATTTCTCGTGTAAAAAGGAATATACTTTGTGTGGTTCTGTATCATTTACCATTTGTTTTTGCTGTATGTATGAATGTGTTATTGTATATTTTGTTCTCTATTCTACCTTGCTGTTAGTGCCATATTGTTTGCACAATGTTGACTTTCGGGCATAAAGGCTCATTTATTATAATTCTGTTAACATCATAAATAAATATATTACAGTCTAATGAATCCAGTCAAGAAAAACTTAACAATGGCAGCATAGTTAGAGGTTGTGAGCTTAATACAAAAGGTAAGTCATTGTTTTGTTCTTATTTTCTTGTAAATTCTTGCTTGTTTTTGTTGTGTTGTAAGTTTTTGTTTGTTATTATTTTGATGTAAATTCTCATTGTTTTGATTAAAATGTTTGTTTGTTATTATTTTGATGTAAATTCTTGCTGGTTTTTGTTACGTTGTAAGTTCTTGTTTGTTCTTATTTTCATGTAAATTTCTTCTTGTTTTTGTTATGTTGTAAGTTCTTGTTTGTTATTATTTTGGTGTAAATTCTTGCCCGTTTATGTTATGTTGTAAGTTCTTGTTTATTCTTATCTTAGTGTGAACTTTTGCTTGTTTTTATTTTTGTCCAGTTCTTTTTTGTTTATCATAATGTGTTTTTCTCCTTCCTATCCTGTGTAAGATTTTCCTTGTTACTATCCTGATGTAAAATTGGCCTGGTTGTTATCACAGTGTTAAGTCCTGGCTTTGTAGATCTGCTCTGTGAGAATGAGTCTAGTGATTCAGATATTTTGTGAGAATTGCAGCCACCCAGTAATCTGCATCTGTTAGGTTTAAAGTGCTAGAGGCAGGCTAAATAAAACAAGTAAATTGAAAACTCTTATGGAAATACTTTACCCCCCCCCCCCCCCCCCCCCCCCCCCCCCCCCAAACACACACACATGCACGTACAAACACACACACTCCCTCTTTCTTTCCTCTCAAAACAGGGTCAAACAATGATGTCTGCTTCTTTCTTATATTTGTGTTAAGTTCAGTTTCAGTCTTTGTCTTGTTAACATTTGTATATTTTATGTAAAGCACATGAAGTCTTGATTTGAGGAACTCTAATATCATCAGTTCTTAAACTTTTTTCAGTGTAACACCCTTGTCAGGCAAAAATATTTTCACGACACACCTACCCTAAAAGTGGTTTGAACACTTAGGAAAAGTAGAAAAAAAAAAAAATCCAAATTAAATAATCAGTTGTCTTTAATGCGATGAATTAAACTGTTTAGAAGAATTTTTCATTATTTCCTTTTTGTTTACAAAGTTACTTATTTGTACTCTCAAATCACTTGAAGTTTGCTCATGTATCTGTTTTTTTAATGTCAGCGTATGTTGAGAATGCACTGCAGCCTTGCCAGTAGCATTGTTTTCTGAATACACCTGCATCCAGAACTCTTGTTGGCTTCCTTCACTGTATTTCTGTTTTATACTGCTGTCTTCGCTGATCTCAATCAGATTTTAAAAAATTCTTGATTATTACCACGGCACCCAGTTTGAGAACCACTGTCTTATGTAATAAATTTTAGATTTCAAAGACAGATTTTCGTTCTCCTCATAGCTTGGCATCTTTCTGGCATTTGTGAAAAGTTGTCTTTTGGTTGTGCTGGAATTTTTCTTCTGTAAAACCACATCTCTGAAGCCTCAAGAAGTATTTTAGATGTGTACTAATTGTCCACGATTCAGTTACATATGTTGAAATTAGTTCTATATATCATTCAGAATTCTACTGTCAGCCACCTTATAGGTCAGTAACAATCTTGCTTTTTCATTGCAGAAACTTAGGCACACTGTATTGTCAACAATAGTGATAATTCTTTCACTAACATTTCTGAAAATGTCCATTCCAATTCAACACATTTACAATCGTTTTTATGCTTAGATATGTAATGTTGCCATTTTGTTCTTAACAGAGGAAGGGAGTGAATGTACATATTCAGCCAAAAGTGTGAACTATGACAACAGAAGTCCTCTACTAACTGAGATGGACACAAACAGCCAGCCTATTGATGCTTTTGACATGGGTATAGTAACTGTCATATTATCATGGTTTATTATTGGTAATCATTTCACAACATAAAAATATTTATTAAGTGGATGGCAGGACTCTGTAAGCTGCAGATTTCATTTAGAATGCTTTTTGACTGACTAGTTTGTCTTGTGAAACGCAGATTCAGAAATTAGTGAGTGATCTGTTGCCAAAGAACTGGGGGTGCCTTATGGGTTTAATTGCGTGTGCAGATACTGATTTGTTGTAAGCTGCTGCTTACACTAATGACGAACACAGTGATAATGTCAGACTGATTGTATTAGCACTTATGCAGGCTGCTTTTTACATTTAGTGTTTGTGTATGCTATTAGATTTGCCAAGACTAGTTAGTGTCAATGTTTTCACAGCCGACAGTGACGGTAGAAATTCTTTGTGGTTTTCATTGGCACAGGAATGAAGTTACTGTGTGGTGACTCATTTGCTTTGAGTTTGAAACTGTGATGACCTGAGTAGTTATATATGATGTTTTATTTTACTGAGACTTCTTAGGAGTCTGAATTTGTTAACTTGGATGTTTCTTGATACTGTGAATTCTTGTTAACTTGGTTATTTTTTGGTACTATGAAGTCTTGTTAACTTGGTTATTTCTTGGTACTATGAAGTCTTGTTAACTTGGTTATTTCTTGGTACTATGAAGTCTTGTTAACTTGGTTATTTCTTGGTACTATGAAGTCTTGTTAGCTGGTTATTTCTTGGTACTGTGAAGTCTTGTTAACTTGGTTATTTCTTGGTACTGTGAAGTATTGTTAACTTGATTATTTCTTGGCACTATGAAGTCTTGTTAACTTGGTTATTTCTTGGTACTATGAAGTCTTGTTAACTTGATTATTTCTTGGTACTATGAAGTCTTGTTAACTTGGTTATTTCTTGGTACTATGAAGTGTTGTTAACTTGGTTATTTCTTGGTACTATGAAGTCTTGTTAACTTGGTTATTTCTTAGTACTATGGAATCTTGTTAACTTGGTTATTTCTTGGTACTATGAAGTCTTGTTAACTTGGTTATTTATTGGCACTAACCTGGGCAATAAGTGCCTGCAGAATTTGCAGGTATCACAACCAAGCTTCAGACGGGCACAACACAATTAAATCCTCAGATAAATGCAGGAAAATTAGAAGAAGAAGATTTCTCTAAATCTATTTATGACAAGTGGTTGTATCTGTTGCTGTGCAGGGCTGCCCTCAATTTATATTTTGTGTCCTCTTTCGCAAGCAAATCTGTCTTCTCATTTCCCGATATCTTCCAGCAATGACTCAACAACTTATTGACAAGTATCATAACTGAATTATCTTTTATTGATAGAACCATTCAGTGTCAGCCTCCCACCAGCATCTGAACCACCACCATCTTCCATGAAATCATCTCACAGGATCCAGGAAACAGATTTACGTGAAAACAAATCTGCTGCATCCGTGGAGGCATTGGAACCTGTTTTTGAGGAGTGGTACCATGGTGATCTCCAACGCAAGCAGGTGACCATAACTTCTATGTTTTGTTGGTCAGATAGTGAGATGTGGCAATCTTTTGCAAAGAAAATAAAATACAAGGTCCAACAATTATGTAATGAGACTAATTTGATTAAAAAAAAATTTTTTTAATCAACATTTGAAGATTTATCCTGTATTTTATTCAAAGTAAGCCCCTTGTGCATTAATACAGCAGGTGGCACGATCTAACAAACACTGGAATGACCTCTGTAGTTCTTCTGTTGTTATGGCCCTTAAAGTCGATGTTACAGACCTTTGGATGTCATCAATATCGGAAAAGAAGCGTCCTTTCAATGGCAACTTCAATTTTGGGAATAGAAGATAGTCACAAGGAGACAGATCTGGGGGAATAGGGTGGATGGTTGAAAACACACACCTGTTTTGGGGCCAAAAGTTCGTGTACAACTATCGCCCTTTGAGCCGGTGCATTGTCATGAAGAAGAAAAAAATTGCCAGGTGTTGAATACAAACCGGTAAAAACCTTTTTTCTTGTCAAAATCTTCCACTAAAGTTTAATGAATACTTTCCGTATTAACACCAAATTCATCTACCATCATTCTAACAGTCGAACAATGATCTTGTATTCGTTCTCTGAATTTTGCCTTGAGTTCCTCATTATGAACAGAAATTAGGCGTGAAGGTCTAGTTGCATTAGTAATCATTTCCACACCACTATTGAATCGGGAATACCAGCTGAAAATCTGTGCATGAGATAAACAATTATCTCCATAAACTTGTCGCATCAATTTAACTGTCGCAATGGTGCTTTGTCTGAGTTTTAAACAGAATTTAATATTAGCTTTTTTTGCTCCATGGTGATTACGTAACAAGGCACCTCTGACTAGGTAAACAAAATGGCGGCTTGTTTGTTTTCTGCTTATCGGGCGGCAATGAAAAGTTGCCAGATCATAGACTAATGTTGTCTCTTTGGATTGCATGCTGTGATTCATAGATGGCATTTTTGTGTTAGCCATAATAAAATTAGTCTCATTACTTAATTGTCGGGCTGTGTAGTACTTTTTAAATATTTACTTTGGCTTATTAAAATGCTGGGAGACGTATAGGTATGTTGGATAGGGTATTACACTAGCTCACCAACAGTAATCTTGTTTAAATCTCTAATTTAATAGAATTGACTGTCACAATGAACCCTCACACTTTTGTTTTTTGTTTTTTTTTGTTTAGAGATCCTACTGGCTGTTTCTTCTGTTTGAAGATCCTACTGGCTGTTATCTTCTGTTTGAAGATCCTACTAGATGGTATCTTCTGTTTGAAGATCCTACTGGCTGTTATCTTCTGTTTAAAGATCCTACTAGCTGTGATCTTCTGTTTGGAAATCTTACTAGATGTTATCTTCTGTTTAAAGATCCTACTGGCTGTCTTTTGTTTGAAGATCCTACTGGCTATCTTCTGTTTGAAGATCCTACTGGCTGTTATCTTCTGTTTAAAGATTCTACTAGATGGTATCTTCTGTTTGAAGATCTACTAGATGTGATCTTTTGTTTGAAGATTCTACTAGATGTGATCTTCTGTTTGGAAATCTTACTAGACGTTATCTTTTGTTTGAAGATCCTACTAGATGTTATCTTTTGTTTGAAAATCCTACTGGCTGTTATCTTTTGTTTGAAAATCCTACTAGATGTTATCTTGTTTGAAGATCCTACTAGATGTTATCTTCTGTTTGAAAATCCTACTAGAAATTATCTTTTGTTTGAAGATCCTGCTAGATGTTATCTTTTGTTTGAAAATCCTACTGGCTGTTATCTTTTGTTTGAAAATCCTACTAGATGTTATCTTCTGTTTGAAAATCCTACCTAGATATCTTCTGTTTGAAGATCCTACTAGCTGTTATCTTCTCATTATGGATCCTACTGGCTATTTTCTTCTGTTTAAAGATCCTACTAGATGTTATCTTCTGTTTAAAGATCCTACTAGCTGTTATCTTCTGTTTGAAGACCCTACTAGCTATTTTCTATTTAAAGATCATGCTAGTTTATTTAGTGACATGACATTTTGTCTGTGAAATTATCTTACACAATGTGAATTTTAAAGATTTGTGGTTTTTGACTGGTTGCATTTTGCTCTAGGATGAGGCATTCATCTTTATACTAACTCTCCTTAGTGGCCTCTTATGACCTGCCTAGTAGGTTACTGTGTTACTGTTTTTTTGCTTGCCTTAATATCCATAACACCCAGGCAGTTAACAGTACTCACTGTTTCAAATGTAGAAAAAAAAATATTGTGTAATTAACTGCTTCATGAGCACCAAAGCAGATGATTTTTGTCGTACCAATTGTCAGAAATAAATTTGAATGTAATTTTAATAGCTCATATGAATGAATGCTGCTGTATTTTATAGGCTGAATCATTTCTGGAGTTTGATGGAGATTTTCTGGTTAGAAAAAGTTCAAACAGCCCTGGCCAGTTTGTTCTCAGTGGGAAGCAAGCTGGAGCACCTCGACACTTATTACTGGTGGATCCAGAAGGCATAGTAAGTGTCAAATTAAAACTTAGAGAATACTCGGCTTTTGTTTATTATACACTGAATTCTTGTTTATTTGTTTATCAGAAGTGTAAATACATCGGCATGGATTTTCACAGATACTCTCCCTTCCTTTCAGCCCCCCCCCCCCTCCCCACAACATACAACCTATTCTTTGCCCATATATGAGACACCTAAGTATTAGTTTCCCTATCAGAGATGGTAAGATCAGGTCTTGTCAGATATGACTGAGCTACTGCATAACAGAGGACAGGTGGTACTGGCTACTGTTATACGGTAACTCAGTCATATCTGACTAAGTAGCCGGTACCTCTGTTATGCTGAATGTTGGGCAGCGTACACCAAACCTATAATCCTATATTGTGCCAACAGCTTCGGGGGAGGGGGGGGGGAGAGCACACTGGGGAGGATACTAGCCTTATCCTAGGAAGAGGAAATGCAACCTGAAAACTTTGTGTTATGGCAGGGCAGAGCTGACCCTTAACCTTGGCTGGCGCTGGTCTAGAAGGGAAGCTCCGACATGCGGACAAATAGAGCACTGCTCTTCTTATCCGGCATCTTCTGCAGCCTGCTTTGTTCCAAACCTTTCCTTTGGAGTAATTAAGACAGGCTGAGAGAGGGATCATAATGCATGGGAAACGTTTGGTTTCTACAATACTGCCCAGGCTTTGTGCTATGGAGAGGACAAACTTTATCCCTGGCCGCAATTGGTCTTGGAAACAAATCGAGAGGCAGCAGTTACGGGTTATGAGTCCTTGCCAGATGACGTAGACGAGGACACCACAGGCTGCCTCTGATGGTTGGAGACATCTTCGAATGCCACCGATCAACTACCACCTGCCTCAGGCTGGGCAGCCGCCAGCCGGTCAGGTGTTGATCCGCCACAGCTTGTATGCTTCAATGAGTGTTTGGAGCTAGGCTGTAAAAATCATTGCACCGGGCAATAAAAAGAAATATAACTTCAAGCTTCGCCATGACTCTTGGAACGTGAAGACCATGTGTCCCGGCCGGTTTTTCACTGACCTGGAAAAACATTAATGATGTGAGAAAAACGGCTATCATTGATGCTGAACTCAGAAACTTGACATAGATATTGCTGGCCTACAGGAAACCCGTCTACCTGAGGATGGGTCTATTAGAGAAAATAATTATGCATTCTTCTGGAAAGGCAGAAGCCAGGAATAAATCCGGAAGTATGGAGTGGGATTTGCAGTAAAGAATTCACTGTAGGGATCAGTTGCGAGTCCAATTGAAGGAAATGACAGATTATTATCGTTACCATTGTCTACCTCAAGTGGTTTTATCACCCTTGTTACTGCATATGCACCAACTCTAACATCAACAGAGGACGCAAAGGATTCTTTTTATGAGGAACTGGATAATGCAGTGAAAACATTATTTCTTAAATTTGACAGCATCTACATACTTGGTGATTTTAATGCTCGCATAGGGTCGGACTTAAACTCATGGCAAGTTTGTCTTGGAAAATAAAATGTTGGCCACATGAATGAAAATGGGCAGAGACTACTGGAATTCTGCACTAGAAGTGACTTTTGCATCACAAACTCCTTTTTCAGAACTAAAAACTGCAGTAAGGTGTCATGAAAACATCCAAGATCTGGCCACTGGCACCAATTAGACCTTATTCTCACTAGGAGGCAACACTATGTATTTTTAATTCGCAGCTACCACAGTGCTGACTGTGATACTGACTATTCCCTAGCTGCTACAAGCGTTCGGATGAAACCAAAAAGAATTTTCACTTTAAAAAACAAATATATCCCTAGGTTAAATATTTGCAAAACTAAAGACCCTGAAAAATATTTTGAGTTCCAACAACAGCTCAGAAATGCTTTCACTGATATCCAGGATAACTCTGCAGCAAGCCTAAAATGGGGTGCAATTAAGGAGACTACAAACAGTTGCATTAATCTATGGGATTAGAGAACACAGAAGTAAGAACTGGTCTGAAGCAAATAGCCAAACACTCCAACACTTATTTGACAGCTGAAAGTTAATACTCCTCAGAAACAGGATTAGAACAACAAGGAACACCCTCAGTGGGAAGCTAGAAATCATTTGCAAAAGGTAGCTAGACAGTGTGCCAATGACTACTGCATCCAGTTATGTGAAAGCATTCAAAATGATGGCGGTCGTGGTAATGTTAGAGACATGTATGAAGAGATAAAGAAGGCCATCAGCTCAACTATTAAAAATTTGCACCACTAAAGAGTTTGAATAGGGAGATTATTAATGACAAGAAGAAGCAGCTGGATAGATGGGTGGAACATTATCTGGAGCTGTATTCAGTAGAGACTAAACAAACAGATGGTGCTCTTAGTGCCACAAATGCTACCAACTCCTGACTATCTGGATGCATTTCCAACAGTTGTAGAAGTTAGGAATGCTATTGATAAACAGGCTTTGGGAAAGCCCCAGGCAGAGATGGAATTCCTATTGAGATCATCAGGAGTGGGAAAGACATTCTAACCCCACACATTCATCAGCAATAAAACTCTGCTGGCGAGAGGGACAGGTTCCACAAGACTTCAAAGACCCAGGCATCATAACCATGTACAAAAACAAGTACAGAACATTATTAGAACTAATGGCTTTTGTCTTTGTCAGAAAAGGATATCATTAGAACTAATAGTTTTAATCTCTGTCAGAGAGGGATATCATTATAAGTAATGGCTTTTGTCTCTGTCAGAGAGGGATATCAGTAAACACCAATGGCTTTTGTCTCTGTCAGAGAGGGATATCAGTAGATACCAATGGCTTTTGGCTCTTTCAGAGAGGGATATCAGTGGACACAAATGTCTCTGTCAAAGAGGGATATCAGTAGATAACAATGGCTTTTGTCTCTGTCAAAGAGGGATATCATTAGACAGCAGTGGCCCTTGTCTCTGTCAGTGATGGATATCAGTAGACACTAATGGCTTTTGTCTCTGACAGAGAGAGATATCAGTAGACACTAATGGCTCTTGTCTCTGACAGAGAGAGATATCAGTAGACACTAATGGCCCTTGTCTCTGACAGAGAGAGATATCAGTAGACACTAATGGCCCTTGTCTCTGACAGAGAGAGATATCAGTAGACACTAATGGCCCTTGTCTCTGACAGAGAGAGATATCAGTAGACACTAATGGCTCTTGTCTCTGACAGAGAGAGATATCAGTAGACACTAATGGCTTTTGTCTCTGACAGAGAGAGATATCAGTAGACACTAATGGCCCTTGTCTCTGACAGAGAGAGATATCAGTAGACACTAATGGCTTTTGTCTCTGACAGAGAGAGATATCAGTAGACACTAATGGCCCTTGTCTCTGACAGAGAGAGATATCAGTAGACACTAATGGCCCTTGTCTCTGACAGAGAGAGATATCAGTAGACACTAATGGCTCTTGTCTCTGACAGAGAGAGATATCAGTAGACACTAATGGCCTTTGTCTCTGACAGAGAGAGATATCAGTAGACACTAATGGCTCTTGTCTCTGTCAAATTATATTATTAGACAACATTGACTCTTGTCTCTGTCAGAGAGGGATATCATTAGACACCAGTGTCTCTGTCAGAGAGCGATATCATTAGACACCAGTGGCTCATGTCTCAGCCAGAGAGGGATATCATTAGACACCAGTGGCTCTTTTCTCTGTCAGAGAGGGATAACATTAGACACCAGTGGCTCTTTTCTCTGTCAGAGAGGGATAACATTAGACACCAGTGGCTCTTTTCTCTGTCAGAGAGGGATAACATTAGACACCAGTGGCTCCTATCTCTGCCAGAGTGGGATATCATTAGACACTAGTGGCTCTTGTCTCTGTCAGAGTGGGATATCATTAGACACCAGTAGCTCTTGTCTTTGTCAGAGGGATATCATTAGACACCAGTGGCTCCTATCTCAGCCAGAGTGGGATATCATTAGACACCAGTGGCTCCTATCTCTGCCAGAGTGGGATATCATTAGACACCAGTGGCTCTTATCTCTGTCAGAGTAGGATATCATTAGACATCAGTGGCTCTTGTTTCTGTCAGAGAGGGATATCATTAGACACCAGTGGCTCTTGTCTCTGTCAGAGAGGGATATCATTAGACACTGATGTTGCTTGTCCCTATCAGAGAGTGATGGTAACTAGACAATAATGGCTCTTGTTCTAACTCTTTTATCATGTCCTGAAATACTCCACATCTCCTACTCCCATGCAATTACAGTGCAGACCACTTAAGGCGATCTGGGATAAGAAGAACTATTTCTTGGGTCCCCCGTGAGTTCCCCTTATCAGGTTTACACGGACTGTACTGCTGCTTGATTTGAATACAAATGTATACATTCTGTACACACTGCAATAATACTTTATTTCAATTCTTTGCCCAGGTGAGAACTCGTGACTTCATATTTGATAGTGTGAGTCACTTGATCAACTACCACAGACAGAATTCCCTCCCCATTGTTACACAGGGCAGTGAACTGCAGCTTGTCAGACCGGTGAAGGCTTGTATTTCTGCCATTTGAATGTATCTTGTTGTATAGCGCTGTTGTCTCCTAAATAAGGTTCTTTGTTATAATGCAGAAAGAAATGTGTCATCGCGCTTTGTATTCCTTTATTTAAAGTTCAGTTTTTTTAATGCATTTAAAAAAAAAAGAATGAGGTTTCTAGGATTTGTACTTGTTTGATTCTCGTTCTTGAAATGGTAATCCTACAGACTCCAGTTCCAATTAATAATAATTATAAATGGATTATTGTTTTTAACATTTATTCATTTAGTTGGTTATTGTTTGATACAAGTTTTAAGATTATCATTATCATCAGAGGCTAGACACTCACCTGAAGGTCTTGGATTCAGATCTTTGGTGGATCTTTATCATTGATTTAGAACTGCCAACCTGATATGGGTACCTTATATGTTAGTCATCACACCCATCGAGTGCCCATTGTTCTGTAAAACTTTTGATCACATGCCCAATGCATTAATGTCATGAAAATGGCTTTTATTTATTATTTATTTTAATACTTATTATTATCTTATGACTGGTGTTAAAGTCGTCTGATTTGGTGCTCATTCTTGAGTTTTTTCCTAGCTCGGGGCAAGTCTGAGCTTAAAGTCCTTGTAAGCAAAGTTTGCTCTTTTACAAAATACTGGGGAACTTCTGACAATAGTTAGCATTTTCCTAATGCTTAAATCCAAAGGAGAATGAAAAATTGAATCGAAAGAAGAATAAACACTTTCATCTGAAGGAGAATGCACACTTAAATCCAAATGAGAATAAACAGTGAAATCCAAAGGAGAATGAATACTCAAATCTAAAGGAAAAAGAACATTTAAATCCAAAAAAGAAGGAACATTTATATATACCACCTGAGGCAGAAAACCTTATGGCCATCTGTACACTGATTATATCTTCCTAAAGTGCATATTGCAGTTAAAGAGTAGATATTTCCTAGAATGTTTATTAGTCTTTATATTAATATTTTACAGCACAAATGCTTAGTGTGGAGAGAGTATTCTGCTTATTATTAACTGCCTACATATTATTTTTATCTAGCTGTGTTTCCTTTCAAGGTGGGAAAAGGGGGGGGGGGGGGGGGAGCACAGAAACAGTAATTGAAATGTGATCAACAATTAAGAGTGCTTTAAATATAAAATAAATACACTTTGCTAAGAAATGCATCCGAGATAAACATATTAATGGATTGGCTGCTTATCATCATCATCATAAACCACTTCTGCCGTTAAGCGTCGTGGGGAGGAATAATTTGCGATCCAGTGCACATTAGCTGCCACTGGCTATTGTCATGCCGTGGAGGCGTAGAGTGTATTTAATATTGTCGATCCATGTTTTCCATGGCCATCCTCTTGCTCTTGTAGCTGATCATCTGAGATGTAGTGCTTGTGATGGTATTTGATCTTGCTGCATTCTAACGAGATGGCCAAACCACTTGATCTGCTGTTTCTCGATGAATCTAGTACAAGGTGTCGTTCCCACAATTTGCCTGATAGTTTCATTTTTCACTCGATCTCGGATGGTTAGGTTTGCTGCTTTTCTCAGGCATCTCATCTCACAGGTGGTGATTTTGCATATGGGTTTTAGATAGTGTCCATGTTTGGCACTGGTAGCTTAATGTTGGAATGAATATGCTATTAATAATCTGTCTCTCTGCACTCATAGATATGCTTGGCTGTCTTAATAATGGTGACAGTTGGTATATAAGTGCACTATTGGCTGCTTTTATGCAGTGTAAAGGCTGTCTTAATAATGGTGACAGTTGGTATATAAGTGCACTATTGGCTGCTTTTATGCAGTGTAAAGGCTGTCTTAATAATGGTGACAGTTGGTATATAAGTGCACTATTGGCTGCTTTTATGCAGTGTAAAGGCTGTCTTAATAATGGTGACAGTTGGTATTTAAGTGCACTATTGGCTGCTTTTATGCAGTGTAAAGGCTGTCTTGGAGCTGATATTGCCATTGAGGTGTCAAATGCTAGACTTTTCCATTTTTTATTAAGTTATTCACTGTGAAAGTTATCAGTTCCCTTTTTCATATTCTTTCCTTCTACAGACAGTTTCTCAGAACATTCTATAAATTGTCTATCAATGTTTATGAGACTATGTCAACCCAAGTAACACTGGTCAGAATAAAATGACTCTGCTTCTGCAGGGAAAGAACCACTGCCTTGGCAACCGGGCACATCAACCACCATTATTTATGCATGCGTTTGCCTTTCTGAAATAAATTTCATGAATGAATCAAGTCAGTCAAAACTGACATCACAATACACTGGACATTCCCATATGTGCTCTATCTCCTTCCTCAGTAGCCATGGAAGAGTTCCCATATGTATGGTGCCGGAATGCTTGCCTGGTTCCCTTTTGAATCTTCACTACTGTTACCTTATCTAAAAAAAGCTCTTTAACACAAGAAAAGCGACAGCAGCCAGTCCATCGCCTTGCTAATTACCCCACACATCTGAATATCCTTGGCAGAAATCCATCATATATAAATAAATGAGAGGCATGTTCATAGCATACCAAAAGTTTATCATCTGCAGGGAGGGAAACAATTGGGAAGTACTGTATAAGACCGGTATTGTTGAATGCCTGTGCAATGTGGACAATTAGCAGACAAGCTGGAAACAAAACATTTAGTGGAAGCAGAAATGTGCTTTCTGGAGAAAATACAAAGAATATTTTAGATATTTTAGGCAGTCCTCCAAGCGGAATATTTTAGACTGACTGAAAAACATATGGCAGTCCTCCAAGCGGACTATTTTAGACTGACAGAAAAACATATGGCAATCCTCGAAGCGGACTATTTTAGACTGACAGAAAAACATATGACAGTCCTCCAGTCACATGAAAGGGAGGAACTGACTAGCAAATAGATGTAGACAGTCATAATTTCATGGTCCTGTAAAGGAATGGCATAAACTCTAAAATTTGATCAGGAATAGCAGCCTTGAAGGGAAAAGAGAAATGTACTCTTTGATTTGTTGTGGGCTGGTGTTCTTCTCGTATTTGTGTAATTTTTCTGAACATTTTCAGTTTCCAAGAATTGCTTCACTTTGTGCTTCCTTTACTGGTATTTATTGCCGATGCCAGCTAAGTTTATACAGTTTTGATATAAATATATGTATACAGTTTTGATATGAATATAACAAGATATAGAGTCTGTTTTGATCTCAGTGATTGAATCATAAGTTACCTTTGTCACCCACTGCTTAAATATGTTATTTTATTTGTATTATTTATGTGGTGGATATTGATTTAAGAAATTTAAAAAAAATTACACTTTCATTGTATTTTCTTTGTTTTTACATCTCAAACATACATTGCTACATCTTTTCGTTTTTGTACTCTTGTCAGTCAGATATGGTATATTAATGTGAGATGATTTTTTAAAATAATTGTTTATACTTGAATGGCTTTGTGAAATTGTTGAAGTTTCCCTTAAAGCTGCACACTGTTCAGTATTGTCTACCATGTACACATACAGCATTCTACTTTGTGTCTGTGGACTTTCACTGTATACAATATTTCTTTGATATTAAAGTAGGATGTGTTCTATTTTCTGTTTGTTAACAATATAATGTTACATTCATCATTGTCATAATCAGAATGTGCCATGCCAGGTGGCATGAGACAATTAAATTTCTCAACAATCATATGTCCTTTTGATAGGATTAACCACTGATTGCCTGTCATTCCACTCTGCCACCTCATCCAGCATTTCCTTCCTCTGTTGACCACTGTCTCTAATACCCTCAATATTTGCATTTGTCACAACATTCCCCTTCTATAACATGACCACAAGATAACAGTTGTCTTGTCCTGATGTAAGTAGACATGCTTTGTGTAAATTTGCCATTGTCAAATTATCATTGTTTAACACGAAAGCTTGTTAAAATTGTATCAAGCTTGATAATAATCTGACCAACATATTCCTGAGAAGAGCAAAAGAGCACCATATAGATAATGTTAGACGGGGGAAGGGGAGTGGTGGTGGGAGGAGGGAAGGTGAGACAGATGTACAACAAGACAGTTTACTGGTACCATTAGAATTAAAACTCTCCACGTGCTGCTGAAAATGGGGACGGAGCATTTATGGATGTATTCCAAGTGGGAAGGACATTGTCAGAGTCCAATCTAGGTATGGCATGATCAATGGCTAATAGTGTACAATTTTGTGAGATACAGGTACCATAGATTTAGGTATTAGAAAGTAAGGTGATAACACAGGCGAAAACATTCCGTTTGTCCTACCTTCTCAGCAAGGAGAGAAAGGTATGAGTTGGCATGGGCCAATGTCAAGTCTGGTTATTGTACAGGGAGGACAAAATATGCTGTTTTTGTCTGACCCAGTAGCTGATGTGATCTTAGGTAATTGTTAGAACATTCAGGATATTCGTGAAAGTGATATCATGAAATGTCAGAATGACAGGGTTCGACAAAGATAGGGTTGTGAAGTAATTTATGTGGGTAGCTCACTAGGTGTTGGAATTATTCTGTTAGCGGGGTAAGTATAGTAATTAGTGACTTGATCTGTCCTCACTCATTGGCCCGTACTCTACAGACGCGCCACAGTCCTGGTGTGGAGTCCAATGGCAGAAGAAAGTGCTTGTATCGGAAACAAGGTGGGTTCGACCCATGTATTATCTGTAGAATGGGATAGCCTGGGAGTGAGTGGCGATTTTAAAGTCCTCACGGCCTAGTTTAGGATAGCCTGGGAGTGAGTGGCGATTTTAAAGTCCTCACGGCCTAGTTTAGGATAGTCTGGGCCAATCGTTTCTGGGGTTAACTACCTGCTGTTTTTTGTTCTGTACATTAAAGATTGTTGTGTGTGTTCAGAGCGTTTGGCTTAGTGTGTTATAGATATATATCGTATGCCAGGAGCCTACAAACACAGCAGGAATAAGGTTCCTTGCAGACATGGGGTAAGATACATACAGTGGCGAAGTATTGGACACCACTTGAATCAAGTTAACTGAAAACCCACTTTAATGAAGGGAAATCAGT